TAATAATCGTAATGGACCAGGTCATATATTTTGCTTAAAGCTAAAGCAAAAATATATTGAAAGTGCACTGATTTTTGGCTCTTCCCCGATAAATGTTCCTTCATTTTCTTTTTGTGTATGTCCCGTGTCCCTTCAGGACATAGGCGATCATAGCTCTCCACTATTTAGCTGTCCGTCGTGGCTCTTAATAAATTTTGTTTTTGTTTTTTTTTTGCTATTTTTCCTAAACCATTTTCCGCTATTTACTTAAATACCCTTTTTATGCTCTGCGTTGTTCCCCCCCGTCCCTCTTTTCCTTCTATTTGTCTTGTGAGTATCAGATTTTCCAAGCCCTCCTTCCACATTATGCGCCGTAAAAACTTCATCTATCTCTTCTTGATATTAAGCATAAGTTTTCATTTTATTTTCACTTTCTCTAACACTTTGTCGTTGCTCACATATTTGCTCCATGCCATTGTCAGAAACCTTCTGTAGAGGCACATTTCTGTTGTTTCAAGTCTCTTCTTCATCTTTGAGGAGATTGTTCACCATTCACTGCCATATAGGACAGATATCACCTAACAGTTCAACACTCTTTTATTTGTTTCTAACGAAATTTTCTTGTCTCATAATACTCTGCTTAGCTTTCTTAGTTCATTTTTCTTAACAAACCTTCTGTGGCTACAGTGTGGGATATTTAGAAACAATAGCAGTCTTGTTATTGGTGAGTGTGATTCTGCATCGTTTACATATTTTATCACTTGTTAAATATATTTAAAGCCTCAGATCAAACGTTGAATATTTTCTTTAGTTTGGGATTTATTTTATTTTATGGCTAGGTCTTCCAATATTTAAAGACATTTTGGGAAAGCTAATATTATATCGTATGTGTGCATTGTTTCCGGGTATTTGCCGTAGGATAATAGAAATCCTTTTGCAAAGCTAGATCTGTTTACTGATAAAGACGCAGATTGAAATGTTAAGCTGCATGATAGAGTAGCAGTTGTATATCCTACGTCCAAATTCGACGCTTGTACATCGGAAAGTATTTTCCCCAAAGAGTAAGAGAATTCTCAGTGGTGTTATTCGTTTGCATTGTTAGGGTTTTTTGTTTTGCATCGTGAATTTCTAATGCAGATCTTTACTAGCATATTAAAAAGATTTCCATTTTTACATTATCAACACAATATATATATATATCAGGTCTTCCCATAGGTTCTCTCCGAATTTTAACTTTTTGTTAAAATGAACGAAATTGAAAGAGTATTTTATAATGTCTAATGGAGCTGAACATTATTTTTATGTTTAGATGCATTTAAACTGATCAAATTTTATTTCAGAGAAAAATTAAATTAAATTTTGTTTTATTAAAACCCTGCTAACATGGAAGTACCCAAGAATCATTTGAAGCACATAATGCTTTATGAGTTCAAGAAAGGAAACTCAGCAGCCGAAGCGGCTAGAAACATTCACCCAGTTTATGGAGAGGAATGTGTGAATGAAAGAACTTGCAGAAGATGGTTTGCAAAATTCAGAGATGGAGATTTCACCCTTGAAGATGAGTATGATGAAAAGATTCTTGAAGAAAATCCTGCTTTATCAGTTGAGGAATTGGCAGTGGTTCTCAGTTCAAACCATACAACTGTTCATCCTAAACTTGGAAAAGTTCCTAAACTTGGAAAATGGGTGCCTCATGAATTGTCTGAAAACAACCTCAAATCCCGAGTTGACATCTGCTCTTCTCTCCATTCTCGCCAACTTGTTTCACCTGTTTTGGATAGACTTGTGACTGGCGACGAAAAATGGATCTTTTATCGAAATGTTAAGCGTCGTAGACAGTGGTTTGGTAAAGGAGAAGGACCCCAGCCACAGACGAGAAGGGAACTTCATGGGCAAAAGGTTCTTCTTTCAATCTGGTGGGATCGCCAAGAAACAATCCACTTTGAATTCTTACCACCTAATGCAACAAAAAAACTCAGCAATTAGAGCGTTTGAACCAAGCTTTGAGGAAAAAAAGACCTGCTCTAGTGAATCGAAAAGGGGTGATGTTTCATCAGGACAATGCGCGAACCCACACAGCAAGAATCACATCACAAAAGATCGAAGAACTTGGTTGGGAGAAAATTCCTCATCCACCTTATTCTCCCGATCTTGCTCCTTCAGACTACCATTTGGTTCGTAGCTTACAGAATCATTTGGAAGAAACAGCTTTTGTAACACAGGAAGAGGTTAAAACTGACATTTGTGAGTTCTTCGAATCAAAGCCAAAAGAATTTTACAGTAATGGAATTAGTAAGCTTGTTAATAGATGGAAGGAAATCATAGATAATCAGGGAAAATACATTGTTGATTGAATCTGTAATTAAATGTAACATTTGGTCACTTGTTTTCTTTATCCAAAATTCGGACAGAACTTATGGGATGACCTGATATATATATATATATATATATATATATATATATATATATATATATATATTTTGTGTGTGCCACACGCCAAAACATTTTCGCGAAGACGAATCATTCTTATTTATCCCGTATTCCAAAGATACGGAAAAAGTTCCAGTCAAGTTTCCCCCCTGAATTGCCCCTTTGTGAAGCAGACACCCAGTGTATTCTTTCTCGAATACTTAATCTCTCAAAGTCATGGGTCACTCGTTAAACATTCTTATCTTACCCACTTTTTCTTTCATATTTGCACACTTTGTTCAACATAATCATTTTAACTCTAACTCATGAGTGACACAAGGACCTCGTATTGGGAAAACTTAAGTGTAACATGTATAAATCAATCATATTAAAGAAAATTGGATAAATATTCTTCAATACTATATATATATATATATATATATATATAGTGGCGGGGGAAACAAATATTCGTACACTTTCTTAATTTATTGTATTTCCAAATAATGACTAAACATACTTTCCTTATAATTAACTGTACACAGAATGCATAATAACTAAATATGCAGAGAAAACAGAAAAAAAAATTGATTTAATAAAAATAAATTTCATCATCAACTCTCGTGGGTAGAAAAATATTCGTACAATGCAAATTTCAGATTTTAAAAAGATTTAAATTGTTTTAATGCTCTATATTATTCAAGTGGAATATTCTAGAATGTTCTAAGAAGTTTATCATCATGGCAAGAGGTTAAGAATTGACAAATTCGCAAAAAAGAACTGATTGTTAAGCTCTGGAAAGAAGGTAAAAGTTATAGGAAGGGCTCAGAAAACCTGAATATTCCATTTACTAGTTCATTAATTACAAGGTAACTCAAAACTGTTGAAAGCCAAAGAACAGGTGCTCCACGGAGGATTTCTTCAAGATCTTCTAGGAAATAATTTTTCTCGCACGACAAATTAACAAAATCCAATGGTTACTCGTCAAGAGTGGCAGGATGATTTCTTTTCATCAGGAATCTGTGTCACTAAACCGATAATAAGCAATGAAATTCATAGGAAAAATTTAAAGCCTCGCTCCACTCGGAAAACTCCACTGATATTGGAAAGACACAGAAATGCCAGGTTGAAATTCGCTCGTGAACATAAGGATATAAGGAAAAAATCGTATTGGGAAAGTGTATTATGGACAGACGAAACCAAAATTGAGTTGTTTGGACGTAATTATAAAAATCATGCATGTAGGAAAGATGCCAATGCCTTCAAACTCAAGAACACGGTTCCAACAGTGAGATTTAGTGGAGGCAGAAACATGGAATTTTTTCTGCAAAGGGTGCTGGCAATATATTAGTAATAAATGGTTGAATGAATGCCTATCAAAATATTTTGGAAGCAAATTTAATGATTTTGGTTGAAAATCTTGAACTTTCTCCTGATTGGATCTTCTAACAAGATAATTACCCTAAGCACACTGCAATATCTATGAAGAAATGACTCGCTGAAAATAATGTAAATATCCTAAAATGGCCATGTGAGTCCCCAGGTTTAAATTCAATCGAGAATCTATGGCGTTATTTGAAAATTCAAATCCAATCGAGAGCTCCAACAAGCATCCTGAATCTGAAGATCAAATGCGAAGAAGAATGGAAGCTAAAATTTGCAAATCATTGAGAACAACAAGAAAAGTTTGATTGCTGTAGAAGCGAATAATGGCTATTCTACAAAATATTAAAAGAAAAGTATGTATTCTTTTTGTATTGTACGAATACTGTGGAATTTATTTCTATTAGATCATTTTTTTCTGTTTTCTATGCTTAATTAGTTATTATGCATCTGTGTACTGTTAATTATATGAAAGGTATGTTTATTCATTAGTTTGAAATACAATAAAACTAAAAAAATTGTATGTGTACGCATAGTTGTCCCCCACTAATTTCCTTTCTGGACATAAAAATCCCTTAGAGAAACACAGGAAAAATTGAATAAAAATCTTAAGCGGAGCAGCTTATCAGCCGTTTTTAATTAAACTTACATAAAAGAGGGATTGCTGCCGAAATACACAATTTATATATATATATATATATGTGTGTGTGTGTGTGTCTAGTTTGCCTTACCATGATTAATTTATTCATTTTTTTTTTTTTTTTACTTCTTATCAACCTTTGCCGGTTACATAAAGCCAAAAATTATTTGCACTATTTACGTAGAACTCAGCCCTTTATTTCGTCAATCGGAAAATAAAGGGTACCGTTTGAAATTCCAAACACCTGAAGAAGACCGGAGCGTACAACAGCCGAAACCTCGTAAATATGGCAAAAAAAAATGAGGACAACAATCCGAACAATGTAAATAATGAAAATATTTACTATACCTCACCTCAGAAATATAGACACATAGCCAGAGATTATTTTCAGATTGTGTGAAATGTGGCGACGATAATAATGACATACTGATATAAGTTCTACTAATTAACCCATAGCTAGAGGGAGATGTGGTGAACTCATAGTTTTCTCAAGCGTATTTGCGCGTAAATGAATATAACTATCCCAACGGGAATTACAAGGCGGCACTTTTCGATTTCCAATTCCGAATCATTATTCATTATACCACAAGTTTACAGTAACTGACATTCTCAAGTGTTTACCCATCTAGGTACTGAGCACGTCCAACTTTGCTTAACTTTGGTGATCGTATGAGAAACGGTGTTTCAACATGATATCGCCGTAAGGCCTTCTTTAACATGAGTATCCAGAATGCATACGCGTATCTATAATACAGGGTGTCCATAAAGTTCGTGTGCACTTTAAAAAATTATAAATATTTGTATTTGCGATAGAAATAATCTGTAAAAAATGTTATAAAGTTTAATGTACCTAGTTTTAAGTATAGTTAAAATAACTAATGTGATTTAAGGCATTACTGTAAATCAGTTGGCAAGAGTTTTCCTTGAACTGCAAAATTACCCTTTGTATTGCTAATGATGGAGGACATGTGAAAACTTAATAAACTTTCAACAAAACCTTAAAAAATATAGATTTACTTCTTTCTAATCCTTTTTACAAATTATTTCTATCGCAAATACAAATAAAGTTATAATTTTTTAAAGTGCACACGAACTTTATGGACACCCTGTATATATCTTCTTTTTTCGGACGTTCACAACATATACAATAAGAAAAGATGTCAAATTAATGTTCAGCCAGTAAACTGCAACCCGATTCACACAAAAGAACATAATGAAGTGAAAATTGGCAAGAAAATCAAAAGTAAAAACAAAAGCAAAAAGAAATGTATAAAAGAGATTTGCGAACTTATCAAAAAAGAAATTTTTAAAGAACATATGAGAAAGAGAGAGTGGTGGTTAATGAGGACCACCGATATAAAGAAAGAAAGCAGAGAGAAGAGAGTGAGAGGTATGGGAGAAAAAGAGATAAAACAAAAAAACGAGGCAGGTGGAAAAGAAAAAAAAAACTTTAAGAGTTGATAGAGAAAAACAAAAAAGAACAATGAAAAGACAAATTGAAAGGTAAGCGAGATAAACGGAAGAGCGAATAAAAAGAGGGGGTAAGTAAAAAAAAGTAAAAGAAAGAGTGAGTTACTAGAAAAACCAGAAGGGATAATGTAAAGAAAGGCGTAATGAAAATAGAGAGAAAAAAAAGACAGAAAAGGGGTTTAGGAAAAGAGAGAATTAAAAAAAAAAAACAACCATAATGAGCGGATAAAGTGTCAAAAGAGGAAAATAGAGGCCATTGATAATGAGGTCTGCCTGTAGCCATGTACGAAATATAGCGACATTCATTATTCGCCATTGCTTAGTTCCGGCAAATGAACGAAATTCAACGGGAATTAATTATTACCAAAACAATCCCAATTAAAACACAAACAAATAATAAATTACTTAATTAATTAATCTTAATGTTCCACGCCCATGAGCAAATAATTTCTTCACAAGTCCTGGTTTAATGCCAGCATGCCTTACGACATGTTTTAATGTTTCCTTTTATATTCCAAGAAAATGTTTGACTATTGTTACAGTTCGGCTAATTCATTTTTTTTTCTCACTAGAGCCCAAAGAACAATTCGTCTAAAATGATGTTAGTCAGGTCTTCCGTAGCAGATATTTGTGACATTTGTACATTGAGAAATGTTAAATCCGCTGCTAAAGCTGATTCTCTTTTTCTTTCTTTCCTTTATAAACCATAAAAATAGTTTAGTTCTCTTTACTGCTGTTTGTATTCTTTTTCAAAAGATTTTTTTTCTCTGATGAATCAATATTTTATATTAATACCTGTCGGGTGGAATCGTTCAAAACAAGGTTAGTCTGTCTATCCGGTAGAGTTTACAAATGTACAAGGGATCATGGAACGCAGCAGATTATATCACCTTTTTTTTTTATTTCGTAACAAAAAAGAAATAATTAAATTCTTCATCGATGCTTTAATTCTATTCTGCTTTCAGGGCGGTATCTTCTAAAACAACTAGAATTTTTTTTTGCCCTTGAAAGAAACCTCATGTATAAAACTTACTGTTTGATCTAAGTTTTTTTCCCAATGGATTACATTTTCTTGGCTTGTAATTTCGTGTCTTTTATAGCATTTACTAGCACAATACCCGTCAAACATGAAAGAATTATTCACGTGTTTATTAGCATTTCTGCCATTGGATAAAATTATAAATTGTGTTGTGTCTAAACTCAATGTTGGTTTTCTAAGCGTAGCTTAGATGTGGCTCAAGGCCGAAAGTATGCCTAAACTCAATGTGTTGTTCACATTACCCTCCACATAGATCGTAATGTCTGTTCTTTTCCTCTGCTGAGTTTTCGTATAGAATATGATAGATGTTCAACATTCAAACAGTTCGTGATAAGGATAATAATAGAAGCCTGGCCTCAAACATTAGAAAAATGCAACAGTATCTCCCCTGTTGGACGTCTTTGGTCAACCTTAAGTAGTGTATTTGATTATGTAAACATAGTAAACATATTACATTTTCCTTTATTCTATTACATCATACATAATAAGAATCAAATATTTGTATCAGAATTTGTGGACAGAGTTTTGTTACAATGAAAAACATGTTCATTAGGATTCGTTCTGTTGTCTCTGGTGCTTCTGTTTTGTTTCAGTTCCTGTACCAATTTTTATATCGGTATTGATCTGATACGATGCTAGAATAAAATTAGAAAGGTTCTGACATAAATAATAATGACATAGAAAAAAACAGAGATAAATATCTTCCGACATTATATTTCTTTGTAAATATAGAAATAATTCCGATAGATTTACGTCTAAGAATATTGGTCAGTACTAGCAAAACATGTGAAAATGAAGAAATAACGAAGAAATCATCAGTCAGCAAGATACTCAATGTTAACCGATAATCGATATCTGTGAAAAAAACATTTATGACTCGTTTAACTCTAGACACAGAGATGGAAAACCGAAGTTTAAAGAGGCTAGAAATTTATAACAAAAAATATGACGAGGGAACTGATTGAAACAAATGAAGGTTTAATCAAAATAAGACATCAAAGGTTTTTGCCGATTCCAGTAAACTTTAGAGAATTTCGAAGTGATGCCTTTATTCAATCTTCGGCTGTAGATTCTGTCCTGTTCTGTGATGTTCCTGTCTAAGGATATTTCGGTTTGGTTAACTTATCAAACCATTTTATCTGTAAACTTGAATTAACGGAATGAAAAGCAAATTGAATAAAGGGTTCAGATTGAAATTACCTTAGGATTACCCCAAAAGACGAACAACTGAACAAGGTTGGATGACACAACAGACGAAACGCTGGGATTCTGACAACAATGATCGTGATATTAGTCCGATTGTAAATAATAAAAATAACTTTCCTTCCCAGGAATTCAGACAAAAATCAAGAATTAAATTTAGGTTCAAGATCATTCGAATATTAACTGTTTTCAAGACTAGCTCGTTCCTTGTTAATACTAATTCCATCTTTGTTTCGCACAAGGCCAGCGTATTCGAGCATTCAATGCAGATCAAACTCACTACACTAACAACTGTCTAATGCGATAAATTAGTATATAATTAGTTAGTCAGTAAGTTACAAAGGTATGGAAACCTTTAATGTTAAAATGTAACAACTTTATTTATTCTTCAGTGACAAGAAGAATAAATAAAGTTATTGTACAATGAAAATGAATATTCGTCCCGTAGGTACACCAACACACATACAAAACAAACACTCTCGAATAATGAAATGTTATAACGCTTAAAATACATTAAAAATTGTCAGCGTTCATTTAACGCACAGCCCAAGAATTAATGCTGTCCATCAAACGCAACGACAATTTAAACTTGTGGTAGCCGGGATGTTTGCTGTCTCCTTTCATCATGTTTTCAGCTCTGTGGGGATAACGAGAATAAGATATGTCCTGTAAGGGAGGGAGCAAGGGACCGATTATTTTCAAGACAACATCACAGGGCTCTCTTGTCCTTTTTAGAGCAGCCGGTATACCAAACAGTGACACAGTACGTCGGAACTCTCTCAAAAGAACAGCGACAGAACGAGTGGCAGAAGGACATTTGGAAACTTTTTTTTTTCTTTTTGAGAATACGCAGTAAATAATTACTTTTTCTTAGAACTCTCATTTTATGTTTAGTCTCTAATGAGTGTCACATTATTATGACTTTGTACCAGACGAAAGTTTATAAAACGTCTAAAGATATCGGCAATATATTGGTAGTTATGCTAGCTTTGCATACTATTGCTTACTGAATGTTGTATTTTTATGTCATTTTGCCGAAATGAGCTGAAAGAGAATCAAGTATTTTATTGTATCGTGTTTCTGCTGCTTTGTTAGTCATGTTTTACAGGATTGTTTTGTATTTGTTTATTATATTTTCTTATTATCTATTCTATTTCTTAACATCGTTTTTTTTTATTTATTTATTTTCTTTTCGTTCCTTCCTCGTCTTCATTTTGTTTAGTTTCATAGTACTAAAGCATTCTTGAGTGTGTAATACGATGGCGTCTACTACATGGGAAAAGTGCCTGTTGGACACTGACTATTACAAATGCAACCTCCATACACCAACCACCCTTTTTGTTTTGCTCTGTTGAGGAATGTCATGTCTCATTTTCAATACATCATCCTTGATATTGTCCAGTGCGCGCCGGTTTCGACGAAGTCGTTTTGTTTTTCAGAGATCGCTCATGTTCTTCTATCTCAGATGGATCAGAACTGGATCTTTTCTGGCCCTGCTACCGTGACATCTAAACATTTGTCTGCAGATATACATCCCTCACCATGAATAACCCCCCACCCACCCACACACTCACAACCAGTTTTTATTCCGGGTTGTTGGCACTATTTCGCTTTCACAAGCACGCAATTCACATAGACATTTTTATATTTTGAAAATCCTTTTTCAGCGTCTTTCCTCACAGCAGCAATAAAGACTGCACCCAGCTCCTTTCTCAAGCGTAAAAATCATTGTCACATTCATGATGAATATTGAAAAGTACGAAGCAACTTCAAAACATTTACTTGCATTATCTTTCTCTCTCTCTCTCTCTCTCTCTCTCTCTCTCTCTCTCTCTCTCTCTCTCTCTCCCTTTCATACGTTCTTTGTCAATTTCTATGTCAATTTATTTCTTCTTCTTCACCTTTTTTCTTTTTTCCTCTTTCTTTTTCTCTCTTCTCCACTCTAATTTTTTCTTTGGTAAATTATTCTACAGATATGTTCGTATGATTCAG